AAAAATTAATAAACCTAAATGTTCACTGTCATGTATTGAACATGACTTAACAGTAATATCAGTATGATAATTACTTTGTTGAATATAATATCTAGATATATCAAATAATAATCCTTGACCATTGTTGTTAAATTGGGAGTCTTCAATTACTATAGTAGATTGTGATTCAACACCTTTAATATTACACTCTTTAAATTGCTGTAAATGTGTGTCTAAAAAAGAAAGAAATCCTATCTTTGACTTAGATACTGATGACTGGGTAATATACAGAGAAAAAAGAGATTCTGTGAAATTATGAAAAACACCATCTTCTGATGAACTGATGATACTGACATTATCAATAACAACTGATATATTATATGAGGTACCATGATTCATATGAAACAATAAGTAGCCATTAGTCACAGTAACATTAGTCAGTGTTAATGAGTAATGGTGTAATTCATTGTAACACACAAAAGGTGGATCATAGGAAATTCTTAGATATACATTATCAAAAACTGAAGATGTTATCTTACTGTCAAAAACATTGAAGAGGCTGACAGAACTAGCAATTATAAAACTAGCAATTGTAATGTTACTTGAATGACTAAAATGTATGCTGCATTCCAGGAATAATAAGTTACTGAAACTAACATGATTGCTCATGTAGATTCTTATAAAGCCAAAAGTAGATGATGAGCAGTCAATAGTAGGAGACTGGTCCAGTCCATGTAGAGTTATATTCTGTACTGAGCCCATTGTGACAGTAAAGTTAATGACACTAGTTCCAATGAAGTAGAAGATGGTGTTATTGTATTGAGACATATCCCCAGCATACACTGATAAAGGATTACAAGGTGACTGAGTAACTGAACTGCAGTCATCAGACACATAATACTGACCAGAGGAGACACTGCAGGAGCTACTGAAGAATAAGAGAACAACCACTAACAGGAGAGACATAGCTACTGTCTGTACTGACTGACTAGTGTATACTTGCAGGCTGTGAGTGATGACTTATATAGGCTACTTGTTCTCCAAATATGGAAATCTGATGCATGTTGTGATGATTAGATTCAATCTAATTAATAGTACAATACACTACAAGTCATTCTTTTTAGTTGATAATAACTAAATTTTATAGATAGCATCTGTACTAATTCTTTAATTTATGATCTAACACAATTCTTTAAAGAAAAGATGAGATATTAAAGAAATTTTAATACTTGTAGTACAGCTATTGCTTTGTCAGTATCTGCTTCACTCAATCAGTTTCTCTTAGTCTATATCTCTCCTACTCCATTCTCTCATCTTTACTATGGACTGCATGGTAATCATACTTACATGATAAGTCATTATGTGTACAATCACAGACATACTCTATCATTATATGACTGTACATTGAATAAATGCTCTACTGGTATATGGTTAGTCATGAGTGTGCATAACCTCAATATTACTGTGTATGAGTGTATTTATGTTTAATATGGTTTATATATAAATAAAAATCTTTAAAGAAAAGGATTATGCCTCAATTACAATATAGGAGAGAGGGAGAGTTAGTTAGTGAATGACATTGTGATTGTATCTGCTTTGCTTCATTACAGATGAATGTGGTGGTATGTGAACAGGTGGGGATTGACTTGTACTTGTACTTGAACAAATCAGAATTCTAGGAAAATATGTACACATGCATGTACTTTTATATTCACTTGGAGTTTTTCTTAGAATTTTCAAATTTGTACTTGTAGTACAAATCTGTGTTCATGCATGTATACTAGGAATATTTGTTCCTTTATACCATATGTACAAAACTCCCCACAAAAACCACTAGGAGAGAATACTCTATAATAATATTTTTTAAATGTACTTATATTGCGTAGAAAGTTTGGGCTGATTCTGATCAAAATTAGATTTTTGTAAATTTTAAAAGTTGCTCCAAATGCCATGTACCTATCACTAGTGTAATATAGTGTAGTATTACTACAGTTATTATTGTAGGTGTTTTTTGTCCATGGGTTTGGATTTAAATGATAACATGCAAAAGCACTAAATTAGATAAAAATAATTAATTGAAGAAAAGGGCTATAGCTCATAGTTACAGAGAGACGGAGAGTTAGTTAGTGAATGACATTGTATCTGCTTTGCTTCATTACAGAGGAATGTGGTGGTTTATGTGGTTATATGGTATTGTAGTGAATGATAATCTGATGATGTTTCTTAATTTCATTGGTTCAGTCCTTCAGTCAATATATTTCATCATACTCTACCTATTCACTAATGATAAAGTAAAGGACACTTTAAACTATTTCTGTTTC